ACAACACTCCAAAACTGCTGTTGACCCAGTCCACGCCTGCATTTTCTCAAACCCCATATTTGCACAAAATTAGCACATAAAAGCTGTATTTAAAAAGCAATGAAACAGTATGCCAAAAAGGTTCAAATCCCATTTGTTTTTCCCCCCAAAACCACAACAAACTCAGATATAAATAAATTATTCCACCACACATCTAAGGGGATAGATTTTGGGGAGAGAGTTATTGAATACAAAGAGAGAGAAGAGAACACGCAACACTCTTAAACCCATAATTCTAAAAAAAAAATACCCTTCTTCTTCCCTTCGAATCAAAGAACATAACATTTTTGTTCTGTTTCTTGCTAACCCCAGAACATTGGAAGGAAGCAGCTCAAGTCCCAAAAACACGCTTCAGATTCAAGGTAAGTCATCCTGACTCTGAACTTTTCATTCGGGACATCATTAAAAATGTAGATATCATAGTTTGAGACTGTACATATCATTGTGTAAGTAGAAAAAACTGTGGATCAGAACTTCTTGAAGAAAACTAGGCTCAGAATTAGGACCAGAACTTCTAGGCTTTTCTCACTGTTGCAACATAACACACAAAACTTCTAGGTTTTTCTCACTGTTGTGACACAACACACAGAACTTCTAGATTTTTCTCACTGTTGTAACACAATACACATAACTTCTAGGTCTTTCTCACTGTTATAACATAGCACACAGAACTTCTAGGTTTTCCTCACTGTTTTAACACATAGAACTTCAGCGTGCAACAACCTAGAACTTCTAGTTTCCTCTAACATTTCTTTCTGAACTACAGCGTGCCTAGCATCAGAACTTCCGGTCCCTCTCATTTTTGTTTTCAGCAACATGCTGATCCTGTTTCCGTTATTTTTCCTTTTCTTTCTTATTTTTATTATTTTTAGCATTAATACTATTTTTATTAATATAAAAAAGACATACAAAATATTTTCTTTTTATTAACTAATTATTTTTCTTTTAATTTATTAAGACAAAAAGACCCTTTTTAAAACAAATCCTTTCCTTTTCTTGTACTGTGCAATTCAATATGGTTGTAATAAATAATTAGGATTTAAATTCTTGCAATCCCCATTTGTAAATATGTATCCTCATCCCTGAAATGATGTAATAGCTTAGGATTTATTTTCCACATTTTTATTGCTTTCATACATTGTTAGTTATTAGGGTGTATGGCAAGATAAAAACAACAAGTAGACAACCCCTAATCAAAGACTAAATGCATGCAAATCAAACACACCATTCACCCATGCACCCTTAGGGTAATCTCACTTGTTTCCTCGGAAAAGTAGTCATGTCCCGCGAATATGGATGTTTTAGCAAATACCCTCGATAAAAGATCATAGTCCCTCGATGACTCTCAGTGTTGCCTTCGGTAAACGATCTAGTCCCTACACGAAAATTGCTAAAACATCCCATAGGTTGCCTTCTATACTATACATATGTCCTACGCTCGTCCCTTCACATCCAATGATGGAGCTTCTTATCTAATCAATGGTAAGATATCAACATCTAAAGGAGGAGGAAAATAACATTTAAGACCTTTTGAGTAGTTAGGTTGCTCCTAGTTGCTCGCTTGCTCACAACAAAAACATTTTATACACCAACACTTTCATTTGAAACATTTTCAAAAGTTAAAACCCTTTGTACGCGTTCTTATAGAAACGAGAACCATTACAAAGACACCTTTTCAAAATCACTTTCAAAAACACATTTCACAAACACCTCTTTGAACTATTTTCAAAACCAACACTTTGTACGCGTTCATATAGAAACGAGAACCATTACAAAGACGTTTTTTTCAAAATACTTTCAGAAAACACACCACAAGCACATCTTCAAACAAAAGAAAGTGATCTAGAAAGCAACTAAGAGCCCGTAGATAACTACAGATGAAAAGGGTGCTAACACCTTCCCTTTTCATAACCTACCCCCCGAACTTAAGAAATAATCTTGAAAGGTCTTTCCTGTTCTTTTCAATCTTTCCTGTTAGATAAAAGAAAAGTCGGTGGCGACTCTTGCTATCCGTAATAATTGCGATCAACCGCAAAACATCCCAAGTCAGTTTTCCCACCGCGTTACAGAACTGGAGACTCTGCTGGGGAGAAACTTAAAAGGGGGGTTACCTTATCGCTAGATCACCTTTATAATGCTTTCTTTGTTTGACTTGCTTGCTTTACATTTTGGGTCCTTGTTTGGGTTTTGTTTGATCCTACACCCGGATCCGGGGAACCTTTTAGGTAAGTAGCAATAGATTGTGGAAATTGTACAACATAGAGCAATATGGTTGAAGCAATGGCTACATTAGTGTGACGCATTTGTTGGTACCGGTATCCCTTGTGTTGAATCGAGGAGAATACGGGTCCACTGAGCAGTGTCATGAAGCACTAACTGACCATAGAACCTTAATTCAACAACTTGGCCATTAGGAAGTAGTGAGATAGCCAACTTTGGTGTAAAGCTGAAGATTGGTTGATACTCGATGCTACACTCATTGAGATCGAACTTTTGGGATATCTCGACCGTAAGAAAAGATTGATTGTGCTGAGATAATTCCTAAAAGAAAGGTAAGTGATATTAAGATCCCCTAGAACCCAGTTACTTTCTAATACAGGTTGAGCCAACTAAACTTCAAGAGGGTACTTACCTATAAAACTCCATGAAATCCTAAACCTAAGGAATTATCTGCTTTGTGTGTATATTATTCTTTGTACATAAAGACTTGTTTGCTTTATTCACTTGTACATAACATCATAACGTCCTACCATAGCATTTTCAATAACCATTTCAAGGATCTCAAGGGTCTACGATGCAAGGTCCTGTTGAACCAGACACCTATCAAGGGGCAAGATGATTTATTTTCCTCTAACCAAACACAGTCAAAGATCAAAGTACAATAACTTGAGTCAGGGGCTATGACCCACTTGACATGGTGAACTTAATTCTCGTGGAAGGACATCCACTGATACAAAGTTCTCCAATTAAATCTGTAAGTAACTTCTAACATCTTCTTGTGTTTACCCCGCGAGATCCTTGAGAACATGCATCCTCATATCATGCATCATATCATGACAGGTTTATCCCATACAGGTCTCCTTATCTTCCTACTGTTTATTTCAGTAAGATGGATATGGAACAAACGGTGAAGGATCTCCAAGCACAAAATTCCCAATTCCAACAAATGTTCCTGGCTTTAGCTAAGGGGCAAGAGGACCTGAAGACTCTTCTCCTCAAGGAAAAGAAGAAAAGGTCAAAGAAGTCAGTAGGCATCCTGAATTTGGGAAGAAGACTTTGAAACAACCGACTGAAAATCATCAAAACAATGAAGTCGCCATCGAACGTCTTTTATCCCACATGTAGGGAAAGGTAAACATCGAGAAAACCTGAGAAGGGAGAAGTCACGGTCTTGCAACCGAGAGATCGGGTAAGGGAGTCTGTTACGCGAGGGGAAGGTATTAGCACCCCACACGCCCGTAGTACTCTACGGTATCCACTCTTGTTGTCTATCTTATGGGTGTGTTTAATCTATGCTTACTGCTTATTACTGCTAAGGGAGAATGCATGTAAAATAAAGGAGAAAAGAATGTAGGGAAAATAAAATTGTGCTCGCTTGGGCCCTACCCCAATGCCTACGTATCCTTTTTGAGGAATCAGAGCTACCATAGTTCGGCTCATATGTTTTTGTTTGTTTGTGTTTTTTGTGGACAAAGTTAATTCCGCCTTCTGCCGCAGCTCGACCTTTGGAGACTTATGCGTTGGCACAAAATTAAATTAATCGTGTCCTTATCTGAAAAGGTTTTTTTTAGAAAGGTGCTCGGGCGCACAAAAGATTTGAATTGGTTTATGTTTTTGTTATAGATGATGACTGATTGACCTCAAGAGAGAGATATTAGCCATTTTTATACTTAGCCATGAAAGGAGTCTATGAGAATTGAACCACACGTATGCTTGAGATGAAGAACAATAAGATCGAGAAGAGACCCGCTTATCATTTCCCGTACTAAGCAAAAGCATGATTCTCATCAATAGTTTTAAAGTGTTTTGAATTTTGAAAGAAAAGAAGTTTTAGTTTTAGGTGCGAATGCAAAAGGAGAAAGAAAAGTCAAATGGGGACTAGCCTACTTCTAAACCTAATGCTATTATGTATTGTTAGACCTAAAGTTAGAATTTTGAGGGATGCTACCTAATGTTAGCACGCATGTTATTTGCGATACAACCCTGTTTCTCATGATTTCTATAAAGTGATAATGAAATGTAATAACGTGAAAAGAAGTGTAAGAGTAGTAGAAGAGGCTACCAAAGTGAGCAAATCGTCAAGAGCGAACAAAAGCACTGAAAAAGCAAGGAGTACGTGTCGAGCGAGCTTTACCAAGAAACAAACAAAGTCAGAAACAATATTTAACTAAGATAAAGGCGAACGCGTATTGCGAATGCAAAGCATAATCAGAAGTTCCTCGCACAATGAACAAATGCGTCAAAAATAACGTGGCATTATTCAAGGATCAAAACTTGCCTCCAAACCACTCCTCATGCCAAGGAAATTGAATCAAGGATACAAAATCGACAAGAACGCGTAAAAATCTTAATTCTAACCATGTACTAAACACTAATTTAATTAATTCATACGCTAATAAATTTTTTTATTAAAAATATCAACAAGTCGGGAATCACCATATTAATATCCACACCAAATTTCAGCCAAGAATCATGCAAGAAAATGTCAAAATTAATTGCACAAAATTAAGAAGAAAATGAAAAAATTAGAGAAATCCTAGGGGATTCGGATTAGAACAGGGAGTGTATTTAGCATGCTGATGTTAGGCCCATTGTAGAAGTGAGGTCCAATAGATTTTTTGTGTGCCCAAAACCCAATCCAATTTAGCCAAAAAATTAGAATCACTATTATCTCAATTATTATTATTATTATTAAAAAAAAATAAAAACAACAAAAAAGGAAGAAGGCCAGCGACATTTCAATGGAAAAGGGGGTTAGGGTTGAAGGTTTGTGTCCCTTCACCCTCTCAAACAGAATCGGTGCCGCTCCCTCTTCTTCCGTCGCCTCAACCTTTCAACGGAACTGGAATCTCAAATCGTCGAAGCTCCATGGCTCGCGGATTCAACGTCATCTCATTGTTTTTCCTCATCATCCCTTGCCTCGTCGGTCCTTTTCTCCTTTGATTCAACTCCATGTTTCATTTTTTCTGATCAATTGATACGTCGTTCTTTCATTCACCTCTCAATCATTTCGAGCATTGCGTATCACATCACAGATTCAAACTCAGCTTCATATATTCACGCTTGTTTAAAAAAGTGAAAATGCCTAATCTAACCAGATCTGAATGCCAACACAAGTGTTACATCATAATATAGAATGATGCCAAGATGAAGGAAACGTTTACCTACCGGAGTAGCTCTGGTGACTTCTTGGAGATGGAGAAGGAGGAGAGAAATCAGTGAATCTTGCGTACTCAGGTATGAACTGAACACCTTTTAATTCTTCTGTATAATTTCTTCTCCTTTCGATTTTCCACACTTCTGCATACTACAACATTTTCTGATAAATTCGTGATGCGGTTCCTTGATGATTAGAGGTGATGATGAATTGTTATTGATTGCTACAGGTTGATGCAGAGAATGATGAAACAATGTATTGCGATAATGTTGATGATGATTGAAGATTTGATGATGCTGAAACACTTTGATGTTAATGCAGGAAGAGATTGACTATTACAAATTATTGAAGCTTTGAGGTATCATGAACGAAATGTGGTTATGCAGAATTGATGACGATGATGATGGAGGATCAAAGGAAGGTGAAGGCTGAAGATGAAGATGGATCCGAGGGAGAGAGGGTACCGCCAAAGTTGAAAAGGTGAGTCCTCTCTTTTCGTGAATTTTTTTGTTATCAATCCTCTCCTCTCTCTATATTCTGATTTCTGTTATATCCTTTTCCTTCCAATTCGGTTATGATTCTGTTAGAGTTTGTTGAGTCAGTTTATAAAACAATTAGAGGTTGGTTGGGTCTGTTAGTTGGTTTGGTTATAGTTAGTTATCAATCTGTTAGAAAGTTAAGAAGAGTTGTTATAGGAAGTTAGTTGGAGTTGGTTATTTGCAAGTTGGCCGTTAAAAACAGTTAGAAATTATGTAAGGGTTCTGTTGGTTTTTTTTGTTAGCTGAATTAGTTAGTTTGTTAATCCTAGGTTGAGAATTTAGAAAAAATATGTTAGGAAAGTTAATGAAGTGAATTACTGAGATGGATTTCTCTTAGTATCAGTTATTTTCGGTTATGAAAATAAATTGAAGGTGGAGTGAGGTTAGCAAGCAGATGTGATGTCATGGTATTCTTGTAATAGCAGGGTGACTTGATGTGTGCATGAACATGTCAGTTGTATGCTATATTTTTAGATTTTATGATCATGATAATGAATGTGTGTGGTGCAGGTTCAGTGGTGCAGCTTGGCATGGTGAATGAAAAGGTATATTGAAGATGGTTTTAACAGCAAGTTTGGTCATAGATGATGCGAATATGACATATAAACATGGTGAAGAAATTCAAGACATAAGGGCATCAAGCATGGAGATTATTTTGAGATGTTATGGAAGCTTGAAGTTTGGTTTTTGCAACCAAAAGCATGAAGTTCATAAGTCTAGAAACTTAGAATTCTTATGTTTTAGGACCAAATTCATACTGTCATGTTTAGAACTTTGTATTCTTGTCATTTTGAATGAAGTTGAACGAACTTTGATAGAACTTGTACAATATGCTTGAATATCTTTGAATTTGATGAAATTTCTCCCATTTTATTTCTTTTCAAATGATTTCCTCGTAGTATCCACGCTAGTCTAAATACTTAGCTTAAGTCCCTGAAACAAACATTGATGGAAGAATTGAGAATAAATCCCTAATTTTGATGGATGATAAATGAATGATGCTTCCATACTTTTTGCGTAAAGATCTTGACTCATACACCTTTAATTAATGAAAGTTAGATACACCTAGTCTTGATAACTTAGTAATCATAACCATAAGAAGATAAAATTTGATCCCCACGCCTCAAAGGAATCCTCAAATGAATGACACGTCCCTGATTCCATGATTCTTGACTAATGCTGATGGAAATATAGTCCTATAAGTTGAGGAGGCTCCAAATAAATAATTCCATTCCATGGTCAGATAGAAACAACATTTGAATCTTGCTCAATTGATACACCCATCTCGAACCATATAGAAATCCTAATCTTAAGCCTTGAAGAAAGATTGCAACTTGATGTTGAGAAGAAAGAATATCCTTATAGTTTGATGATAAAGAAGTCCAGAAAATAAACCCTAGCTTCAAACAAATTATTAATGGAGAAATCAACCAAAACAAGCTTGTGCGAAGATGAGAGCCTTAAAGCCATACACCAACACTTATTCCTCGAAATCCATGATCTTATGCCAATTTATTGATTAATGATGCATGATGTGTTAGATGACCTAATGAAGTTTATGTGCATAAAAAAAGTGTGAGATGCATAAGCCAGATAAAAGTAGAAGGGTAGGACAAATTTGGGGTATTATAGACTTAGAGGACCAGTCAAGGGAGCTTTAGATCTCTCAACCCCTTCAACCGAGGGGGACAATCAGACAAAAGAAGGAGATAACAGCCCGGGGACTGATGAAGATGACTTCTCTGAGGAACAATATCCTCCCGCTGATGATAAATACAAACAGTTGGAGGATCGCCTCAATTCTATGGAGATTCAGCAGATACCTGGCTTGGACTTTGAAGAGTTAGGTTTGGTTTCTGGAGTGGTCATCCCACCAAAGTTCAAAATCCCTACCTTTTCCAAGTATGATGGGATCTCTTGTCCTAAAATGCATCTGAGGTCATATGTCTGCAAGATTCAGCCTCACACTGCTGACCGGAAGCTATGGGTCCATTTCTTCCAAGAAAGTTTGGCTGGCACTTAACTGGAGTGGTTCTATCAGTTAGAAGGAACCGACATTCACATCTGGGAGGACTTGGCTACTGATTTCTACAAGCAGTACCAATACAACGCTGATCTTGCACAACCTCGTGTGCAATTGCAAAATATGACCATGCATTCCAATGAGGGCTTCAAAGAGTGCACCAACTCGTGTGCATTTCCAGATGAAGTTTTACACAGACTCATCATGAAGTAACCATACCCAGGTTCTTTCTCACACATTTCCAGATGAAGTTTTACACGGACTCATCATGAAGTAACCCTACCCAGGTTCCTTCTCATACATTTCCAGATGAAGTTTTACACTGACTCATCATGAAGTAACCCTACCTAGGTTCCTTCTCATACATTTCCATATGAAGTTTTACACGGACTCATCATGAAGTAACCCTACTGTGATCGGTGGAAATAGAACTGACTGTTTTAGAATGTTGGTTCGCGTTTACGTTTGTTTTTGCAAAATGTCGCGGTAAGCAAGAGTCGCCACCGTCTTTTATTTTATCCAACAAGGAAAGGACAAAAGCACAAAAAATTCCTTTTCGAGATATTTCTCGGGTTCGGGAGGTAGATTATAGAAAGGGAAGGTGTTAGCACCCTTTCTATCCGTGGTTATCCACGGGCTCTTAGGTACTTGCTCATTGTGTTTTCAAAAGTTTTGCTTTTCTTGTGTTCGTGGGTTTTGAAAAGTGTTTTGTTTGAAAACTTCGATTTAACTCTTGTTTCTGTCCTCAAGAGTGTATGAAGTGTTTTTTGAAAACTTTGTTCGAAAAGTGTAAGTGTGAAAATTTTGTTTTGTTTTGAAAGAGCATGTACCTAAGAACCTCTACCTACTCAAAAGGAAATTAAACTGTGCAAATGTCCTTTATACAGTGCTATCCCACTATTGAGGAGTAGGTAGCACCGTCGTTAGAGTTTTCGGGTCAATTTGATTAAGGGACATGTGGTCACTAAAACAATGTTATGACGCCTTAGCGGTAACCCTAATGTCTTAGATCATTTTATCCGAGGCAACCGTTTCGAGGCAACTTATGATCTTTGGACAAGAAGGAGACCTCTAAAACATTATATACTCAATGACCACATCCGAGGCAACCAAGTGAGGCGTACCCTAAGAGTGGCATGTGCGAGTGTGTCAATTTTCAGTTTATATTATCTTTGTACATGTTATGGTGAGCTACTGTTGATTTTAAGTTAAGATAGATCTTGTCATGCATAGCCTATTATTCATACATCTAGCAGTTAATGGTTGCGGAAAATAAAACTAAGCTATTACAAGGCGTCAGGTATTTACATCGCCAAAAACAAACCCTTGAAAAGTAAATGCGGAAAAGTAAATAAAAGCAATAAATAATCCTAAGTTAAAGCTATTACATCCTCGGATCAATTACAATTATATGGAATATGAATCAAAAATAATACACGCGGAAAAAATTGAATCGGAGAGTTTTAGGGTTTTGACCCTTTTTTAAGAAAGAAGGAGATTTTTTGTTATTTTGAACTAAATGAAATTAAATGAAATTAAGCCTAAGTTAATTAATTAATTAGATAAAAATGTATTTTTTTGGTTTTTAGAATATTTAAGGAAATAAAAATAAAAATGATTAAAATGGTTAAAACCTAATATTCTAATTTACTTTTAATTTATTGCAAAAATATTAAAATTATTCCTAATTTAAAACTAAATTAATTGGTTAATTTTTATTTACAAAAATAAATAATGAAATTAATAAATATTATTTTGGTGTTTTCTGATTTTATTAGGAAAATATTAATTATTTTAGTTAGTAGTTAATTAAGAATAAAAAATAAATCAAGTAATAAAATAAAATATAATGATAGAAAATAAAAAAAAACAAACTCAGGGGGTTTGGGCCCAATTTTGGAGGTAGAATCAGCAATTTCCCAGGCCCATTATGCTTCAGCCTCATTGACTTTCCAGGATCTCACGCGCATGCATTGACTAGGGAGTATGATGATCCTTCATTCATGACCATTGGATCTAGGTTTGGAGACATCTGGCGCACTGAGATTTGAGGTGTATGGTGGACCTCCCTTTGCAAACTGCACATGAATACCTGAAGGAGAAAAATAAACAAGATTTTGGGGGACCTGGGATTCGAACCCAGGTCCCAATGCTCACAGGCCAACATGTTTACCACCCAACCAAGCTGCTTCAATTGTTATAGACATAAGAAGCGATAATTATATATGAAACAAACTAATATGCCTGAAAAAACAAAATAAAAGCGCGTAATTCAAACACACGAACCAGATGACAACACGTCATCATCTTCAACCTTGGTCTTGCATAAATAGAATCAAATAGCGGGGGTTTTTAACCTCCACTATCTCCTGCACGAAAAATAGCGAATAGACACAGAGCAAAAAGAAATATTTCGCGTGGTATGTGTTGGAATCGTCTTGGTCTCACGAATTCAACCATGTATCCCATTGGTTCCAATTTTTCATGGTTTGGAAAGCCCTATTTGAAAGCTTGAAAACCCTAGAAACTCAATCATGGCATCTCTCGGTTTAGGGCACTATGGTTCAATTAAGTCATTCCATTAGCTTTGTATAACCTCTAGCAACGCAAATCAATCACAAAAACATGTCATGCATATGAATTAAGAGATACGATTTTGAATTAGAAGTGCAAACCGTGAGATGGTATTTCGTGATTCCTTGAGCTTTGGTGCTTGAATTTGATTCAAATCACTCCTGGTACCTCCTGCAATGTGTTTGGATGGACAAGGCACCTTGAATTAGCCTAGATTGCAAGAACAAGTTTTGATTTTTCTTGAAATTTCTTGAAATTGGTATGGCCGTTTTTGCAGTCCTTCAGTCGTGAATTAGGTTATGCTTGGCTTGCTTGCATATAAGGGGATCAGTTTAGGTCAAAATTTGGACCCATATCCATGTGCATTGAAGATTGAATATTTGATTGACAAATCAAATATTCTTGATTTTTCACGATTGAACAAGTTGCCAAAATTGGATATTTTTGTATCTTTTAGCTTGTGTACGAATTGGCATTGCTTATTCAGCATATTTGGATCACATTTGGTTCACAAATAGATTTAAGAATCAAATATTTTATTTTCTTATAATTTAAATTAATTAAATGAATTAATATGTATTAAAAATCCATTTAATTAATAAATTTAAGAAAATAAATCCAATTCAACTTGGTGGGTCGTGCATAGGTCATGGGTGAAGTTAAAAAGAGATTTGAGGCCCATTAGCAAAAAGAAGGTGTTTTGAGGAAAGTTGACTTTTGCAAATTCATGAAAATTGCCCAACTTCTCCAATGCATAACTTGCTCAATTTTGATCATATGACCATGTTCTTGGAAATTTTGGAAAGCCCTTGAAGTCCTATAACCAATGCTTTTAGTCCCATGTCATTTGGATTTACCAATATCAAGTTATGGCCTTTGACTCAAAGTGTACTTTTGTTGACTTTTGAAATTGACCTATAATGTAAAAATTTGTAACTTTTTGT